GCGTGAAAGCCATTTTCTCCTTTATTCTAAAATTAATTTAGGAAGAAATAACAAAAAAAGTAGATTTGCCAAGTAGGACATGTGGGACCCACGAAAATACGAAAATGGAAGACTGGTTCTTTTCTCCGTTTTTTTGTTTTTGTTTTTTGGGAAAAGAAAATTTAAACGTGAAAGAGAGATGAGCAAAATATAAATATACCCCGGAAATTCCTGCATTGCTTCGGATATCCAGCCGGAGAGAGAGAAGCCCTCTTTCTCCTTCCTTTTCTCTCGACAAACGCAGACGGACCGGACCTTCTCTCTCTCCTCCATTTCTTGATCTGCTCATCTTCACCACCTCTCCTTCGTCTTTTTCATGCCTTTTTCTTAATTTTTCCATAACATCAACCTGCCCCTCCTCATTCCAGGTACCTTTCTTCTCTTTCACACTTTTTTTTCTTTTTTCGCTTCAATTTTTCTGGGATCAATTTTAAGGTTTCAGTACGAAAGAATCTGACTCTATTCAAGATTGCTCTAAACCTTCAGCTGGACATTCTTTCTTTGTTGTTTTATTTCATTAACCGTCAGTCTTCTTGATTTCCTGTTTTGGATATTTGAGTTGAATGTGCGCGCAATTGGTTTCGGAACTCAAGCTCTCTGTTTTGGTTATTTTCTATGTTTTCCCCCTTTTCCATAAGCAAAAGGAAATTAATGTAATTCAATTCCCTTTGAATTATTTTCTCGGGATTTAATATTTCTACTGCGATTGTCAATGTAGATTCTCTTGCACTCTGTGTGCGTCTCCTATAAAATTCTCTTTGCTTCTTCAAATCTAATGCTTCACGCAACCTTCGATTTTGTTTGTCCAAAATTATTTTCATGTTCAGGTTTTTGATATGGCTCCCCGAAATAATTTTACTATCATTTTTCGGATTCGGGGGTGAAACACCAAACTTCTTTTCCCCCTCCCTTAAATGATGGGTCTTTCTTCTTGTAGTTTTTTTTTTTTTTTTTTTGAAAGAATTTGTCAAGTTCAGTTAATCTTCTTCCTTTTCGTCTAGATTGGTGTAATCATGGAATTTGAACAAGTGGCATCATCATCACATTATTGGTGAAGGGGATTCGACTTTCTTCTCCATGTTTATGTGCTAATGATATTGATCTGAACTAAAATTTTGAAGATGGCACGAGGCAGAATAAGGGCAAAGCTGCGGCGAAGCCATCTTTACACATTTGGGTGTCTCAGGCCAGTTACCACCGAGAGCCAGGAGCCACATTCAATTCAAGGGCCCGGTTACACGAGAATTGTATATTGCAACCAACCTCATATGCATAAGCATAAACCTCTCCGATATTGCTCTAATTATGTATCTACCACCAAGTATAATTTGATCACTTTCTTGCGTAAGGCGCTTTATGAGCAATTCAATCGTGTTGCCAATTTATACTTCCTTGTGGCTGCAATTCTGTCTGTATTTCCTATTTCACCGTTCAACAAGTGGAGCATGATTGCTCCATTGATTTTTGTTGTTGGGCTGAGTATGGCAAAGGAAGCTCTCGAAGACTGGCGCAGGTTTATGCAGGATATGAAGATTAATAGCCGGAAAGCTAGTGTCCATAAGGGAAATGGTGTTTTTGGTAATAGGGCATGGAGGAAACTTCGAGTTGGAGATGTGGTGAAAGTAGAAAAGGATCAGTTCTTTCCAGCTGATTTGCTCTTTTTGTCATCAAGTTATGAGGATGGGATTTGCTATGTGGAAACTATGAACTTAGATGGTGAGACAAACTTAAAAGTGAAGAGATCGTTGGAAGTAACCTTGCCTTTGGATGATGATGAATGTTTCAAGAATTTCACTGGAATGATAAAATGTGAAGATCCAAACCCCAATCTTTATACCTTCATTGGAAATCTGGAGTATGAGCGACAGGTTTATCCTCTTGATCCTACCCAGATTCTTCTAAGAGATTCAAAGCTCAGGAATACATCTTATGTCTACGGGGTGGTGATATTCACTGGTCACGATAGCAAAGTTATGCAGAATGCGACCAAGTCCCCCTCAAAGAGGAGCAAAATAGAAAGGAAAATGGACTATATCATATACATCCTTCTAACCCTCCTTGTTCTAGTCTCGTTGATCAGCTCACTAGGCTTTGCCTTGGAAACGAAATTTCACATGTCAGACTGGTGGTACTTACAACCCCAATTTCCTGATCAATCATATAACCCAAGCAATCCTGCCATTGCTGGAATGGTCCATCTGGTCACTGCTCTTTTGCTTTATGGCTATTTAATACCAATCTCACTGTATGTTTCAATCGAGGTTGTAAAGGTTCTGCAAGCAACTTTTATTAACCAAGACAGACACATGTACGATGATGAAAGTGGAATTCCTGCAAATGCACGTACATCAAATTTGAACGAAGAGCTTGGCCAAGTAGATACCATCCTCTCTGATAAAACGGGAACTTTGACCTGCAATCAGATGGATTTTCTCAAGTGTTCCATTGCTGGTACTTCGTATGGTGTGCGCTCTAGTGAAGTTGAAATGGCTGCAGCAAAACAAATGGCTGTTGATCTTGAGGAGCAGGGTTCAGCAATATCTGGTGTTTCCAGGGATAAGACCAAAGTGCTAGGTTCATGGCAGAGCAACAAAAGAGAATCAGAAATTGAATTGGAGACTGTTGTGACTTCTAAAGATGAGAAGGATCAAAAGCTTCCCATCAGGGGGTTTAGCTTTGAGGATAGCCGTCTCCTAAATGGAAATTGGTTGAATGAACCGAACATAGATGTCCTTATGTTGTTTTTCCGGATACTATCTGTTTGTCACACTGCCATTCCTGAGCTGAACGAAGAGACTGGTATTTATACATATGAAGCAGAGTCTCCTGATGAAGCAGCATTCCTTGTTGCAGCAAGAGAATTTGGTTTTGAGTTTTGTAAGAGAACTCAATCAAGTGTGTTTATCCATGAAAAATATTCGTCTTCAGGACAACCAATTGAAAGGTTAGCAATCTAAATGAGTTACTTAAGATTTTGTACATGGTTACTATTAATTTCCCTCAAACTCGGGATTTTTCTGCCATCTTGATTATCATTTTTGGAAATCTTACAGGGAGTTCAAAATTCTAAATTTGTTGGATTTCACTAGCAAAAGAAAACGAATGTCTGTTATTGTGCGTGATGAGGAAGGTCAGATTCTCCTTCTGTGTAAAGGTGCTGACAGGTTAGCCTCCCAATTTCCCTTTTAAATTTAACTTGTCTATAAGAATTTTTAGTGCCTACATACACGAAAATCCACATAAGTTAGCAGCTTCCTTAATTGGGAGGTGGGAGTTGCATATCTGTTTTAGATTTCTAGGAGCAAAGAGCATATCATAATCTGCACAATTTTGTTGGCTTAAGCATTTCCATATGGCATACATTGTTCCTTTGCTTAAATATTTGCAGCATCATTTTCGATCGGCTGTCAAAGAGTGGAAGAATGTATGAGGAAGTTACCAGTAAGCATTTAAATGAATATGGAGAAGCTGGGTTACGCACATTGGCCCTTGCATATAAAAAGCTTGATGAGTCTGAGTATTCTGCATGGAATAATGAATTCCTTAAAGCAAAAACTTCTATTGGAGCTGATAGAGATGCGATGCTTGAGCGTGTATCAGATATGATGGAAAGAGATTTGATCCTTGTTGGCGCTACTGCTGTGGAGGACAAATTGCAAAAAGGAGTATGCATTATCATTGCTCTAGATAAGTAGCTAGATTTGTCCTATTGGTTTACCTCAACTTAAGTCCTTTCTCTTTTATATAGGTGCCTCAGTGCATATATAAACTTGCGCAGGCTGGTCTCAAGATCTGGGTTTTGACGGGGGATAAAATGGAAACTGCAATCAACATAGGGTTTGTCCATATAACTTATGTTAATAAGTACTCGTCAGAAAAGGGGTATTTCGTGAAGTTTCTCAATCCAACTAAGTCAATGGAACATTTTTTTGCATATTGCAGATTTGCATGTAGTTTGTTACGACAAGGCATGAAGCAGATCTGTATAACAGCAATGAATTCAGATTCGTCGAACCAAGATTCCAAAGAGGTATATATATTACTTCTAATAAATATTTTAGGAACCCTTTCAGGAAATTGATACATTTGATGTTAGACCTTGTTACTCTTTGTTACCAAGCAGGCTGTGAGAGAAAATATTGTGATGCAAATTACCAATGCTTCACGGATGATCAAGCTGGAAAAGGATCCCCATGCAGCATTTGCTTTGATCATTGATGGGAAAACTCTAACTTATGCCTTGGAGGATGATATGAAGCATCAGTTCTTGGCATTGGCAGTTGATTGTGCATCCATTATATGCTGTCGAGTTTCTCCTAAGCAGAAGGCCCTGGTAGAGTTTTCCTTTTCTATCAGTTTCAATTACCCTCTTTTTGACCAACAAATAGAAAAACCCATGTTCTGCCTTCATTGACTGGTTTTTCTATCATCATAAGATCTACAATTTTTATTATTAGTTTGAGTTTAGGGCTTATTTCTTGTAATTTATTGTGCAAGGTAACAAGACTAGTAAAAGAAGGAACAGGGAAGACCACATTAGCAATTGGTGACGGAGCAAATGATGTTGGCATGATTCAAGAAGCTGACATTGGTGTAGGCATCAGTGGGGTGGAAGGTATGCAGGTTAGTGACTTGTGCTTTCCTCAAATGCCACCTCTGGAAGCTTTGTGGCCATTTCTTTTGGGGGCTTTAAAACTCCCCTTTTAAGACCAGATATAGCATTTTCTTGTTCTAAATATATAGGACTATTATATCTTTTCTCATAGGTCTATCGTCAGCAATATCAAATTTTTCTGGCACATGTTTGAATTGCACTAGGGAAAAGGAATTTCATGATTGTTTCTTTCTAAGGCTTTAAGGCTAAACTGACTTGGCTAGTCATCTATTTTCATGTTTATTATGTGCATGTATGTCCCCAGTGGAGACTGGCTTTGGCTACTTGGAATTTTCACCTGGAAGTCCCTCATTAGAATGTCTAAAGCTAAATGTACTTTCCATTGACATGTCAATCAATAATCTATCTTATATATTATTTGACCTCTGATGTTAAATATTCTCCCATTTATATATCAGTTATTTATTTATTTCTTTTGTGGTTCATGTCAATTGCCTATGTTTAATTGATGCGTTTAACTATGTTCTCCCTCTAACTGTTTACATGATGGGTCAAGCTAAAGTACACTTATACGTTTTCTTTAAACTTAAAGTTTCTTGATAATTTTTGCAGGCTGTTATGGCTAGTGACTTTTCCATTGCCCAGTTTCGGTTTTTAGAAAGACTTCTTGTTGTCCATGGACACTGGTGCTACAAGAGGATAGCTCAAATGGTACAAACCAATGCCTGTTTTCTTGTTTTATTTTATGAATAGGGGAATTATTTCTGCTGCATGCAAACATATGAGCATCATCTGAAAATGCTGTGCTTTTCCATATACTTGAATCTTCTCTAATGGTGAATTCCTTCTGTAACCCGGGATATTCTGTATCCAGATTTGCTACTTCTTCTACAAAAATATAGCATTTGGTCTCACCCTTTTCTACTTCGAGGCTTTCACCGGCTTCTCTGGGCAATCTGTTTATAATGATTCTTATTTGTTATTGTTCAATGTCGTGCTTACGTCATTGCCAGTCATTTCCCTTGGAGTGTTTGAACAGGATGTTTCTTCTGAGGTTTGTTTACAGGTTAGTCTAACTATTAACTACACCTTTTTCAGTGCTATTTTCTTTTTTCAGATTAGCAATGTTTACTCATGCATATACTTTTCTTTTTTGCAGTTCCCTGCACTGTATCAGCAAGGACCTAGAAATTTGTTTTTTGATTGGTATCGGATACTTGGTTGGATGGGAAATGGCGTCTATTCTTCTCTTGTAATATTCTTCCTTAATATTGCCATTTTCCATGATCAAGCTTTCCGTGCTGGAGGACAGACTGCCGACATGGATGTTGTGGGTACCACCATGTTCACTTGCATTATCTGGGCTGTGAATGCACAGATTGCACTGACGATGAGCCACTTTACATGGATCCAACATCTTTTAGTCTGGGGCAGCATCGCCACCTGGTATATTTTTCTAGTACTTTATGGCCTGATGCCTCCCAGTATTTCAGGGAATGTTCACGAACTCCTTGTTGAAGCTCTTGCATCTGCGCCCCTTTACTGGATAGCCATGTTCTTAGTAGTAGTTGCTTGTAATCTCCCTTATTTCGCACATATATCTATTCAAAGAACTTTAAATCCCTTGGATCATCATATCATCCAAGAAATAAAGTACTACAGAAAAGACGTGGAGGACGAGCGCATGTGGACCCGCGAGAGGTCCAAAGCAAGACAAGAAACCAAGATTGGATTCACAGCAAGAGTAGATGCAAAAATCAGGCAGTTGAGAGGGAAGCTGCAGAAGAAGCAGTCGACCTTGGATGTACAACATGTGATGCCCCCATCATCATGATGTCCATGAGTATCGGGGATTGGCATCAAGATTTGTTTTGGTTTTCGGCCGTTTGCAGTTCAACAAGAAGGCATTCTTCTGATTCATTTTTGGAGATGATTTATATCCAGTAAAGTTGGGGTGGTTCAGATCCCGTTCCTGGGGAGCTGTTGTTTGTACACTATTTAAAGGAGTCGAGAGTTAAGGAGGTTGTTTGAAGATTTGGTGTCAGCATCTGCTTTTCGTGTTCTTGGCTCTTTACATGTGTATTTGACTGATGAAACATTTAGATGTATAGTAATAGTAATGCAGGACACAAAAGCGAGTAGAAATGTCTCTTGGCAGCCTATTCTTAATACATTTTGCGAGTGGTTATAAGAAATTTTGTTAAGATCAGATCAGCTCCTTAAGGCATACAAAAC